ACCTGCTCCCCCTACAGGGGGACAGAAGCAAGGTAAGGCTGTGGGTGACAGGGGGTTGGGATGTCTGTCACTTCCTCTTCTATCCCACAGTGGCCCACGTAAGAGAGCTGACCCAGAGTAATCACCCTACATACTTGTCCAATGTTCCAGAAAAACTGTCCGCAACTGCAAGCTGAGAGGCCTCAGTTTGGCCACTGCAGACAATGGCCTAGGCAGGAGGGACCTCGCTCTCCAGAGACAGTGGTGACTCGGTCTCCTCCCTTTCCTCTGTGCCTCCTTGGGGACTGAATCAGCAGGGCATGCGGCAGAAGTGTCCAGCCGCTGAGCAGAAGGCCAGATCGCTAATCAGGCCAAGGTCAGAGGCCAGGTTTCAAAAAATCTCAGTTCCCTCTTCTTCCTGCTGGGGTCACTGAAGGGGCCCCTCCAACCCCGCCACCTGGTCGGAACAGGAAGTGGCCAGAGTGCAGGCAGATTAATAAAACAAATCCTGCACCACGTCTGGAAAGGGCCATCGGGTGACCACTGAGGGGTGGTGATTCAGGGGCACCTTGAGTTTGAAGGATGCTACATCAGAAGTGACCTCGAGGCACCTAATCAGTTCCAGAAAAGCGCTTTGTTCTTGGGCAGCAAGGTAGGAGATCAAAGCATTTCTTGCCAATCATCATCGAGCATTAATTACTCGTAAGTAACCCGAGCAGGCTCAGACCCAGCCTCGTGAGCACCCTTGATCTTTCAACCCAGCCCGCACACAACTGGGAGGAAACCGCCAGCGAACCTGGGAACCAGAGACGGGCAGCAAGTCTTTCAGTTACTCCTTCCTTTCCTGTTAACTTTTTAACCCCAGTGGCAGGAAACGCATGCACACAGCACCAGCCTCCCCTCCCCCAGCCACGTTTTAGTGGCTTCTCACGGAAGCCCAGAGAGGGGGGGAGAAAGGGGGAAACACCTCACTGCTCCAAGCTGTGTGGCCTCAGGCACACCTGCTGGCCTCTCTGAGCTGCCTCAGCCTCTCCTGGGCAGGGCCATGGGCAGAGAACTGTCCACCTCCAGCTTCTTCTAAGAATGAAGGAAAATCAAAAAACAGCTGCAGACCCCGGAAGTGGATCAGCAGGAGGGTGCCCAACTAACTCCGCAAAAACCCACCTCAAACCCCTCAGCCACCCTCCTGCACCACTGCCACAGGGCAGAACGGCCCAGCCAGCCATCTCCAGAGCAATCCGTGAACAGAAGGTGGCAGGGGCAAAGGGAAGAAGGAAAGAAAACAGAGTGGCTTCTAGACATGCGATGGAGCAGTACTGGACCCCAAAAAGACTGATGGACTGTACAGGGCAGGAGAACCTCGAAAAAAGGACACCAAGCAAAGGGTCACAGTCATTAATGATTCATCATAAAGAAACATCCAGAGCAGAGGACCCATGAAAGCAGGAAGTAGACAAGCAGTTGCCTAGGTGATGGGGAGGAGAAGGAGGTGAGGTTTGAGTTTTCTTCTTTCTCTTTGTTATTGTTGTTGAGGTTTGAGTCAGGGTCTTGGTATGCTGGCCTTGAACTCACTACATAGCCCAGCATTGGACTAGCATTGATCCTCCTGCCTCAGCCTCCCAAGTGCTGGGATTACAGGTGTATAACATCACATGCTTGCTTATTCATTCATTCATTCATTCATTCATTCATTCATTTATTTATTTTGCAGTGCTGGGGATAGAACCCAAGGCCTAGCACATGCCAGGCAATTTCCCTCAGTGAGCTACCTCCAGGCTGACTGAGAGGTTTCTTTGGGGAGGGGGGCACAAAAACATCCTGACCATAGCTTGGGGCGGCAGCTGCACAAGGGAAGCGCTGTTAACATCCATGATTGCTCTCCCTGCCCCCACCCAGGCTGAGACTCCACATCCCCCTGAATAGCCCAGGCATGTATGTGCCCCTCCTGCAGGATCTGAAGCACAGATTCCAAGAGAGGGCTTCCTGAAGTAGGCCTGTAAAGAGAGGCACACAGGGCTGGGGATATGGCTCAGTGGCATAAATGCCTGCCTTGCAAGCGCAAGGTCCCAAGTTCGATCCCTAGTACCAACAAAAAGAGAAAGAAGTGGGCTTTGCTTTTGGTTTAAAATGGGGAGCTAGGGGGCAGGGAGATGGCTCAGTAGAATAAACGCTTCCCTGGCAAAAACACGGGTCTGAGTTCAATCCCTGGTTCCGCCAAAAAAAAAAAAAGTAAAATGGGGAGCCATGGGACCCCCGGGGTGGGCTAGGGTCTCTGCTGGAGACAGGTTCACAAGGCCCCTGTCCATGCTGAGATGACCCTGGAGAGTATGGCCTCTGTTGTATGTTTGACCAGTACTAGTACTCAGGGTCTAGCACTAAGCGGTGTCCCCAGCCATCTTCTTATTCTGTTGAGACTGTCTCACAGGTCACTACACTGGCCAGGATGGGTTTGAACTTGTGACCTTCCTGCTCTTGGCTTCCAGAGTCCTGGGATGACAATCGTGTCCCTACTCGCCAGGCTGTAACCTCGGCCACTCAGAAGGCTGAGGCAGGAAGATGGCAAGTTCAAGCCCACATGGGCGATTCAGCAAGACCATTTTATAACATAAACTGAAATAAAATGCACCGGGGATGGAACCCAGTGATCCAGCCCTTGCCTAGCAGGCACAGGGCCCTGGGTTCGACCCCTATAACCACCAAAAAATCTCAATAAAACAAACTCGAGTTCTGCAAACCCCAACACAACCCCAGGGCCACTCCTTGGCTGGGTACAAAGCAACCGAGCAGTGAAGTCTCGCTTTCCTCTCCGGGTTCCCTGCAGCCAGGCGTCCTGCCGCTTGGTTTCAAGGGGCTGCGTGAGGAATCAGCACTCAGGCTGTGGCGTGGCAGGAAGCCAGCTCCATCACCCACCTCTCCCGTGAGCTGGGGACCCCTCTGTGGCTCCTCCCTCCACCTATGTTCCCACCAAACTTCAAAGGGAACACAACCCCCACAAGTGTGGGTCTCTTGCCCCAGGAACTACACACCAAGGAGCGCATGCTAGTGAGATAATCAGACTAGAGTGAGCCACCCAGAACAGCACTGGCCCGCAGAGTTGCAGCCGAGTCACATGCGCAGTCTTTTTGTTTAGTTTTGCTTTTTGAGACAGGGTCTCACTACGTAGCCCACGCTGGCCTCGACCTCTTGGCAATTTTCCTGCCTCAGCCTCTGGAGTGCTGAGATTACAAGTACGTGCCACCATATCCTGAAGTGCTTTTCATTATTTTTTATTTTTTATTTCAGGCTGGAGAGATGGCTCAGTGGTCTAAAGCACCTACTTAGAACAAGCTTAGCAAAGCACAGGGACCGCGGTTCCATCCCCCAGCACCACATGCCAGCCAGCCCCGCCCCCTGGTGGGTGAGCTGGCCACACACACACACACACACACACACACACAAATAAAAAATTTATTTTTTATTTCATTTTATTTGGTGGAACCGGGGATTGAACTCAGGCCTTTGCGCTTGCCAGGAAAGCACTTATTCCACTGAACCATCTCTCCAGCCCATTGAGGTGCTTTTTAAGGATAACAAAAAAAGGATAAAAAATCTAAAATTAGCAGAATACCCAGCAGGACTGCTTAGAGGACAATTATCTTTATTTTTGGTTTTGATGCTCAGATTAAGCTCACAGCTAAACACATGCCCAGCCACCACTTGGCGGGGTTTCCCAGGCTTTGCCCATGTGAGCTCACTCAGCCCTCACAACCACTCAAAGCAAGGGCCACGAAGCCCTTCTCACAAACAGAAAAACCAGGATCCAAAAGCTCATGTAACCTGACATGGCAGCACAGACCTATAATCCCAGCACTCAGGAAGCTGAGGCAGGAGGATCGCTCCCTCAAATTCAAGGCCAGCCTGGGCTGCATATCCAAAAGAAAGCTCAGGCAAGTTGCCTGAGAAAATGATAAAGCTGTACCGGCCAAAAACTCAGCGGATTAAAACACCTGCAAGCAGGTGCAGGGGTCGGGGGTTCAATCCCTGGGCCTGCCGTTCCAGCCCTGCCCCTGGGGCACGCTGAGACAGTGATTGAGACTGAGCGTGGTGGCACACACCTGTAATCCCAGCTCTTGGGAGGCTGTAAACAGGAGAACCACTACAAGTCCGATCTAGTAGTGAGACCCTGAATACCCTATAGACCCTTCCCTAAAATACAAAAAAATAAAGAAAAGAAAATGATAAAGCTGAAGTATGGACAAACAGAATCACGCGGCAGCCAGGCAGTGGCTGTGTGTGCTTCTGCCAGCCCTGCTACGGATGGTGTGGGAGAAAACACCATTGCTCTCCCAGCCCACCGCACCCCGTCTCTGCCATCGACCATGCCACCCTGAACTACTCGGCTTTGCTCTGCTAAGTGACCTCACTCCCTAGGCCCCAGCGTCTACGCCGCAAGAGAGTCACAACTGCATCTGCTGGCATGGCTGGAGTGTAAGCAAGATAAGGGATGGAGGGCTTAGGCAGGAAGCTATTCCTGGTAAGTCTTCTCCGATGTAACTATCATCTTCTGTGAGGGTCTGTGTCCTGCCTTCTGCTCTTAGACATTTTTGTGTTGACCATGGATGAGATTTACAAAGAGAAAGAAGGTACTTTCCAAACAAAAGAGAAGAAAGCAGTCCATGGAACAGCTGAAGGAAAAGGAGGGAGGGAAGGAAGGAGGGAAGGAAGGAAGGAGAAAAGGAAAGAGAAAATCCACCCTATGAATAAGGTGGGGGGCCACCACTTCGCCACAATTATGTAGGTGAACACCAGGGGGCACTGCTTGAAATGGCAACAGCAGCTGGGTAAAATGAACCCTCCAAACAAACAAACAAACAACAAAAAAAAACCTGAAAATTTGCAATGAATGGATCTCTGAAAAATTCTGCTCTAACTGGGAAGCCCTCTCCCAGGAGCCCCCGCCCCCACCAGCTGTGACATTCGCCTATAGGAGGTGCGCAAGGCAGGGGGAGCCGTCGCCTCAAGGCCAGAGGTCAGCCTCTTACCTTCGGAGTCTTCTTCGGCCAACTGACCACAGGGACCCCAGTTATGGCCAGGTTGGGGTCATCCTCTGCGTGCTCCTTCAGGACATTCTGTGCCAAACAAAGGAGCTGCGTTAGGCCAGGGAGAAGGGGCACTTCTGGAGAGACAGATGGCACACGTCCCTGTGATGGCCACACGCAACACCCAGTCAGACACATCGCACGCACACAGCCCCATCTACTTCTGCAGCACCCCTTCCCGCTGTGGCCCCCAAATTCAACTGTGTTTGCAGACTGCAGAACCCTAACTCTGTCTCTCCTTCAACCTGCGCACTATTTGTAGCCTACCCCGACTGCATAGACACGTTTGGTTTGGGGGATTTCTTACAATACCATTTCAGGCTGGCCTTGAACTCACAGAGATCCTTTGGCCAAGTGTTGGGATGACAAAGGTGGCCCACCAGGCCCAGCTGTAACTGTGTTTTGAAACAACCCCTGAACTTAAGTAGATATTTGATCTGGTTATATAAGTGGACCTTCGTGGATACATAAGCTCTTGGCTGTCTATGCGTCACGCTGGGTCCATTCCTCTGTGAGCATTTGGGTCTTTGAGGGTATCTGACTCCAGCGGACGGAGATCTGTGTGCAGCTGATGAGGGGACCCTGTGCACATGCGAAATGCCATGCTGCTGAGTCACCCTCACTTGTAGCTGAGTGGGCAAGGCTTGGAATCTCTCAAAAGCCCTCGATGCGGCCCTAGCACCCAGGTGAGAACCTGTGAGGACACAGGCCTGGCACAGCCTCCCTCCACTTGGAGCAGGTGCTTGGGGATTGCACACAGGCACTCTCCCAGGGACAGCTAGGAACAGGGTTGGGTATGGAGGTGCATGCCTGTAATCCTGGCACTCAGGAAGCAGAGGCAGGAGGATTGCCTGGAGTTTGAGGGCAACCTGGAGCCATAAGCTAGTTTAAGGCCAGCCTGAACTACGTAGCAAGACGCTGTCTCAAAAAAAAAAAAAAAAAAAAAAAAGAAATTTTAAGTGAACATTGACCCTGAACTTACTGTGTAGCCTAACCTCAAACTTCAGGCAATCCTCCTGCCTCAGCCTCCTGAGTGCTAAGATTACAGATGTGCACCATGTTAATAATAGGGGAAGCTAGGAATGGGTGTGTATATGAGAACACTTTATTATTTGCTGAATTATCCTATAATTTCATTTATTTATTTTTTAATCGGTAACCACGGCTTTATTTTTTATTTTATTTTTTTATTTTTGGTAGAACTGGGAATTGAACTCAGGCCCTTGCGCTTGCCAGGGAAGCACTTATTCCACAGAGCCATCTCCCCGGCCCCACCACGGCTTTATTGTCAAAGGCCTCGCTGCAGCCTGGGAACCAGGTCAGGGTGGAGACAGATCAGAGGCTCGGACAGCCTTCCCGGGGGCAGCGTCCTGCTCGGAACCCGCAGACTCCACGGCTCATGGGTCAGCAGCAGACACCGCGCGATGCATGGCGGTCACGTAGCTGCAGCCGCTCGGGTCGTCGAGGCGCAGGCGTATGAGGGGCAGAAAGCACTCAGTGCAGAAGTAGAGCAGAGCAGGCTTTGGAGAGCGCTGGGCGGCCATGAAGACCTAGGGACAGCGCGGTCTTCTATAATTTTAAAACTATTATAAAATATATATAAATAAAAGCCGGCCAGACAGCTCTGCGGATTAAAGCTCCCGCTTAGGCAGACACAGGGGCCGGGGGTTCTGACCCCTGGCTTGCCTTATGGGCCCCGCCCCCAGGGCGCACTGAGCTGGTGAATGAGACTGAGCATGGTGGCGCACACCTGTACCGCCAGCGCTTGGAAGGATCACTACGAGTCCGACCTGTGTAGTGAGACTCTGTACTAAATACATGAAAAATAAATAAGCAAACACTAAACCAAGCACAGGTGGGACACGCCTGTAATCCCATCCCTTGGGAAGCTGAGGCAGGAGGATCGTTGCTAGTCCGATGGAGCCTAGACTATACAGTGAGTTCAAGGCCAACCTGGTCTACCTTTCCTCAAAAACCCCCAACAAGACCCAGAATTAAGCTCCCCTCCTGTTTCCCTTGGAGCAGAGCCAAGGAGCTTGGCCACGCCCCCGCGGAAGGCTTTCCTCAGGGTTCCCAGTTATGGAGCTCGCCCGCAGCTCCAAGCCGCCCACCCAGAGGAAACCTGCACCGACACTTCCTGGTTCCTCTTCATATACGAAGCTCACACCCTCCCCCGACGGGTGTCTGGTTTTGTAATGTCTCCTCCTTCCCCCCCAAATTTATGAAGCAATAAAAGGGCTTACCGGGAAGAGGTTCCACATTTAGCAAAGGTTTTTGATTCCTTCTTATCCATGCCCCCCTGTGGCTGGAGAGGGGCCACACCTACCCAGGATTTCTTTTTTAAAATTTTAAAATCTTTTATTCATTTATTTATTTGGTACAGGGTCTCGCTACGCAGCTCGGGCTTGTAATGATCTTTCTGTCTCAGCCTCCCGCAATGCTGGGATCACCACAACCAGTTTCAAGGCCCAGCCCGGCGTGCTCGGCGTTCCAGGGCCAGCGTGGCGTGCGGTACCGAGGATCGAATCCAGGTCCTGTGCTTGCCAGGCTGACGCTTAGACTGCTAAGCAAACTTCTCACCCCCACCCAGGTCTTCTGAGCCCAACCAACCCCAGATCCTAGGCTGCGGTGACAATTATAATCATTACTGTATTATATTGCATGATGGTGCACGCCTGTAATCTCACCACTTAGGAGGTTGAGGCAGGAGGGTCGCCATGAGTTTGAAGCCAACCAGAGTTCATAGCGAGACCTTGTCTCAAAAAAAAAAAAAAAAAAAATTATGGGTATTAGCAAATAATAAGTTATAATGATAAAGAATTTTCTAAAAAAAAAATTTGACAGGGTCTTGCTATGTATTTCAGGCTGGCCTTGAGCTCAGTATATAACCCAGGCTAGACTTACACGTGCAGTGATCCTCCTGGTTTAGCCTCCTGAGTGCTGGGATTATACGTGCACTGAGCAGCGCACGCGTATGATTCCAGCACTGAGGCTGAAGCAGGACGGTGAAAAAGAATCTAGCCTAGCCTGTAATGTGACCCTGCAAGAACACTGTGCGTGTGTGTGCGTGTGTGCGTGTGTGCACCCGTGCGCGAGTCACACAGAGGAGAGACCCTTGGTGGCCACTAGGAGGCGCTGCAGAGCCAAGGCTGTGCCCGTGGAAGACGGTTCCTCCGCCGTGTGGGGTGTCTGGGTGCCTGGAGGAACTGCTGCCTTGCTCCCCAGGCTGCCTCCCCAGGCTGCCGCTGGCTCCAGCACGCAGATCCAGGAGGCCCAGGCTCACCCCGACCCCGCAGTCCAAGGGACAGGCTAGAGGCGGGGCCGCTGCCCCACCCAGGGCCCGCGGGCCTCTGCTCACAGCGGGCTAGCTCTGGGAGTTAACAGCGCGCTGGTCCCCGCTCCCCAGGGTGAGCGCTAATAATGAGAAACTCGGCTACACCGAGACTAAAAATATCCCGCCACAGCCACGCGGCTCGGCAGCGGAGGTCAGGAAGCCAGACAGCTTGGCTGCGCAAGACAGGGACGCATGGGTGCTGGGAGCCCTGCAGCAACAGCAAGAGACAGCACCAGGCTGGGATGGCCAGTGCCAGGCCTCCACGTCCCCGGCTCATGCAGGGGTTGGGATCTGCTGCGCTGGCCTGTGGTGCCTCCGACCCAGGAAAAGGGACACTCCACTCTGGGGAGCTGCCACGCCGGGGAGCCACGCTACGGCTCCACAGTGCGCAGACTGCTGCTGGTACCATCCCTCTGCACCCCAGGAACCTGGTGGACCTTAGACACTGAGTCTGAAGCGGCAACTCCTGGCCAGCTGTTGTGCCAGGTTCTCGGGAAGGAGACCCAGCGAGAAGAATCACAAGCTCTAGGCCAGCCTGGGTAACTTACAAATAGGGCTGGGACACTTCAGCAAGGTCAAAAATCCACCAGAGGTGGTCCCCAGAAGAACAAAACACATCAAGCCCTGTACCCTGTTTTACACAGGTAAAGAGAAAGGGAAACAGACAGTTGGGGTGACCTGCCTGAGGCCACACAGCATGAACCAAACACTCTGGCCTCCTCCGCCCTGACTTCCTGTTCTCACCCATTTGTGCAATTTAGGGTCCCAGCCCCTACGGGTCAGAGGCCGGGGCTGGCACTCATGAGGGGCACCGGGGCCAGAGTCTCAACCCTACAAAGAAATCGGACCAAGCAGGAGCTGAGTGCACCACACATAAACACGTGTATGGCAGGGCATCCAGCTAGTGCATGGGATGCGATGCCCAGGTTCCATCTTCCCCACAGCAAAAAATAACACGCAGCCACAGAAGGAGGCTTAAGGTAAAAAAGGGATTTTGGAAAACTCTTCAGGCAAATGAGTCCTTAACCCATTTATGAGGTTTGGGGAAACAATACTATTATGTTTTTGGTTGATGAAAATATCCTGTTTCCACTTGATAGGATCTCAGAAGGGAAATGCAAGCACAAGCTGGCATGGGGGGAACAGGCCAGCGCCTGGGAGGCTGAGGCAGGAGGATTACCTGAAGTTTGAGGCCAGTCTAACCTACATAACAAGACCTTGTCTCAAATTAAACACACACACACAAAGAATGCAGCCACATGATAGAATCCTAAAGGTTTTCTGGAGAAAATCTAACATGCAAAAATGCACGGTTAAGGGCCAGTGACCTAGCTTAGGGGCATCAGTGCTTGCCTAGGACCTGAGTTTGATCCCCGTCTCCCCCCCCCCAAAAAAAAAAACCACTTAGGAAGGGAGGGGTGGCTCAGGAGTAAGCACTGGGCTAGGTTCAATCCCCAGTGCCACCAAGAAAGAAAACAGAGGGGTTTTTTTTGTTTGTTTGTTTGTTTTTTTTTTGAGACAGGGTCTCTCTATGCAGTGCAAGCTGACCTTGAGCTCACTTTGTAGCCCAGGCTGGTCTCAAACTCACAAGAATCCTCCTGCCTCAGCCTCCTGGGTTCCATGAAGGGATCTTAAGTCCAGCCACAGACTCAGGGATCCAAGACCTTTGAGCGCTCATACAGGTGTATGTGTATTTTTTGAAGACTGAAGGTACAGTGCACTATTTTCTCAAAAATCTCACCGAATCAACAGAATAAACCTATTCCTAAGAAAGGATTGAGGAATCCCTCTGGGAACCCCTTTGACCTAGCAGTTTCCCGAGATATAAACATCCCTACGTGTGGGAAGGGACATCCTATTCGCAGCAAGGTGACTCCTGGGACAGCTTCATGGCAGGGTGTCCAGCTAGTGCACGGGATGCCCAGGTTCCATCTTCCCCACAGCAAAAAATAAAAAAAGTGGAGCACCTGGACTTGGGGTTTGCACACTGGCTCCCTCTGCTGGTGGGACCTGTCAGGTTCCCTGGCGTCAGCCAGGGTCCTGAGCAAGAGGGTCATGATAATACTTTCTTTCTCTCTCTGCTTTTTTTTTTTTTGGTGGAACTGGGGATTGAACTCAGGTCCTCACCATTGCAGGCAAGCACTTATTCTACTGAGCTATCCCCTTGGTCCCCAGTTTTTTGCTTTTTTGAGACAGGGTCATATTATATAGCCCCAACCTCACCGCAATCCTCCTGCCTTAGCCTCCTGAGAGCCACCACACCCAGCCCAGGTCATAATCTTTCTATATCCCAGGGTGATGCACAGTGTTTCCTAAATGAACTACTCCTTCCTGAAAAAGAAATTTTAAGGTTGTTTCGCAAGCCCAGCAGGCAGCTGGTTCATCTGCCCCTCAGCGCCTCTGCGGATGCTGAGTGGGAGGGCGCTGCCCCTTCCCCTATCTGCCTACTCCCTGCTCCTGGGCCACAGGGAGCCGGTGGGCCCCATGAGGTCCCCTGGCCAGAGGGACACACCGGCCCCCCAGGCAAGCAGCAGCGTGGTTCACAGCTGCCACACCCACGCAGCCAGCCCGCCTGCACCAGCCCTGCCCACCTTCACGCCCTCCAGGAGCGCCTGCGGGTCCTCGATGCCCTCTGGGATGCACTTCTTGTTCTCGGGGAGGGACTCGAGCTTCTCCACCAGGGCCTTGAGCCCCTTCAGCTCGAACTCGGTGAGGTGGGTCCACTTGGCCGGTGCCTCGGGGGCGGGCGAGCCGGTAGGCGTCTTGGGGTAGTCGCAGGGCGCGGTGGCCGACTTCACGCTGTCCTCAGACTCATTAGACAGCGTCCTCTTGAGCAAGCGCGCGCCACCGGGTGGCCTGGGCTTCTTGCCCGGGCTCTCCTGCGCCTCTGAGGGGGTGCCGGGCGAGGCGGGGCCCTCGGCGCCAGGCCTGGGTGTCCTCTCCAACCCGTCCGCCGACTCCTTCTCCTCCTCCTCTTCCTCCTCCTCCTCCTGGGGCTGCTGCTCACAGGACTCTTCCTCCATCTCCAGCCAGGAATCGGATGAGAAGCCGTCTATGCTGGCCTTCCGTGAGGCATCTGCGCGGTGGAGATGGCAGAAGGCACGCAGGATGAGGCCCCGGCTCCTGCCCTAGCCCCATTCACACCCCCGCAGGCTGCCCCCCGCCCAACGCACAGCGTTTTACTAAATGTATAAAAGAAGGCCAAAGGCCAGGCGCGATGAGGCAGGAGGATGGAAAATTTAAGGTCAAGCTGTGCGATTTAGTGAGACCCTGCACCAAAATAAAATTAAATTGAAGGAGCTGAAGATGCCAGGCATGGTGGTGTCCCAGCACCCAGGAGGTTGAGGCAGGAAGATGACCATGGGTTCCAGGCCATCCTGGGCTACAAAGTGAGCTCAAGGAAAGGAAAAAAAAAAAAAAAAAGTGAGCTCAAGGCCAGCCTGAACTGGAAACGGAGATCCTGTCTCTAAAAGACAAAAAAGAAGAAAGAAGGAGAAGAAGAAGAGGAGGAGGAGCTGAACAGCTCCGGGCTGCCTGGTTTCAATCCCCACAACCACCACCACCACCACAAAATGAAACAAAACAAGAGGAAACAAAACCAGCATGGGGCCAGGGAGGTGGCTCAGTGGAATAAGCGCTTCCCTGGCAAGTGAAAAGGCCTGAGTTCAATCCCTGGTTCCACAAAAAAACAAAACAAAAAAAACCAGTATGTATTACAGGATATCATTGTGTGTGTGTGTGTGTGTGTGTGTGTGTGTGTGTGTGAGAGAGAGAGAGAGAGAGAGAGAGAGAGGGAGAGAGAGACTGAGACTCCCCTGGCCGTGACTTCACTTTGGAGCTCAGGCTGGTCTCCAACTTACAATGATCCTCCTGCCTCAGATAACAGGCATGTACCATCATGACCAGCTGATAACGCTCATTGTAAACATCCCTAACTAGGGCACTGCTACAGATAGAAAGTGGAGGAGGGAGTGGTCCCACACACGCACCCAGCACTCATGAATTTAAATAAACAATGAAAGGGACTGGGGAGGTAGCTTAGTGAGAAAGCCCTGGCTTCCAACCTGGGTAGGAGAAGAATTGAGAAAGTGGATTAGTAGTTGCCTCAGGGGAGGGAGGAGAGGGGAGATGTGGAGATAACTCCCCTCTGTGGCTCTGGGGGACATGAACAACTTCTCAGTGACTCTGAAGGTGGCTGTGAAGGCCCGGAAGAGACCAAACACCACTGAGCTGTAGACTTTCAAGGGACAACAGCATGAATGTGGACCACACTCCAACTACAAGGACAGAGCTCTGGGGCACAGCGTTTACCTAGCATACACAAGGCCCTGGGTCATTCTCAGCTTCACAAAAGAGAAAAAGAGTAAGAACTAAGGAAAGGCAGGAGGGATAGAAAGGAGGGAGGAAAAGAGGGAGGGAGGGAGGGAAACGAGAAGCAAAATAAAGAACACTTCCTCTGAGCTGGCATCGTGATAAACACCTGCAATCTCCACTATTCAGGAGGCTGAGGCAGGAGGATCACAAATTCAAGCGAAGCCCAGCGAACTCGATGAGAGTCTCTCTCAAAATAAAATGAAAAGGCTAGTGGGTAGCTCAGTAGTACGGTGCTTACCCACCATGTCCAAGGCCCTGTACTCTATCCTTTTCTCTTTCCTTTTTTTTTTTTTTTTTCCTCTGTATTTTAGAGAAGGGTCTACAGGGTGTTCAGGGTCTCACTACTAGATCAGACTTGTAGTGATCCGCCTGTTTACAGCCTCCCAAGAGCTGGGATTACAGGTGCGTGCCACCATGCCGTCTTTTATAAAAAATCTTTCTTTTTTTTTCTTAGACTCTATCCTTAGTGCTACAAATGAAACAAAACAAAACAAAAACTTCCTCTGAGGGCTTCTGAGGATGACACAGGACAACACTACTCCTGGCACCAAGTAGCATCTGATAGACAAGGGCGTCTCCCTAGTACCTCCCATTCTCCTAGGCAGACGGACTAGAAGCACCAGGGGCAGAACAGTGGCAAGACAATGTAAGTGGGCACCAGTTACCCGACCCTGCCTTAAAATCTCCTCTCATACCCTTCAATGGAATCAGCAACATTCTTCTAAATAACAGAAAAAAATGAAAGCTTCTATTTTCCACTAGACCGCCAGACTTTCCCCTCTGTTCAGCCTCTGGGCCCCGTAACAACAGGAAGCGCCAGCCATCGAATCAGCTAGCTTGCTGTTTCCGGAGTGCCTCCAAATCTCCCCTGCTTAGTTGGAAGAGCAGGGAGGAGAGCCTGGGTATTTTCCAACACCCCCGATATCCCAGCACCTGAAGAGAATGAGTTTCATAGCCACCCCAAGAGCCCCCAGGAAAGAGCCCAGCAGAAGCGCCCCTTGGCATCCTCCGCCCAGGTCAGGAGCCTTGAGGTCTCTGTGGATGGGACAAGGAGGGGAAGGGCAGGGCTCATGGAGAAGCAGGGCTGGAGAAGCTACAGACACCAAAGAAACAGACCAATCTCATGCTTGTGTCCCAGAGAATAAATGCCCTGTGACAGACATGTTGACTCCAGGGATGCCTATGTGGCCAGAGGGGCAGACCAATGTCCCTCATGTGCACGTAGGACTCATGGGCACAGCAGACGTGACTCCAGGCCAGGCACCTGTGAGTCCAGGAACAAGGACACAGCTGTGTGTAACAGAGATGGCTGGAGTCATGGGCACTGACTGCTTCGTAGTCCCAAGTTCTGGTGTCAGGAGACCAGCAGCTGGTGACACAGTGGGACCAAAGGCCCTGGGAATCCTTTTTCTGGGAGATGGTCCTGCCTCAGCAACCACATCTGCGAAGCTACAGATGTGGACTGCAAAGGTGGCCCTTTGGGGGTCATGAATTCCTTTTCCTGGACTCTATTGCAGGGGACGGCTGACAAAGATTGCTGCCCCTAAGCTGTGGCTCCCAAGAACCACTGACTGGGTGTAGTGGCACACACCTGTCATCCCAGCATTCTGGGAGGCTGAGGCAGGAGGAGTTCAAGCCTAGCCAGAGAAACGTAGCAACTTAGCAGGACCCTGTCTCAGAATAAAACATAAGAAAGGGGCAGAGAGATAGCTCAGTGAGAAGGCCCTAGATTCAACCCTCAATATTCCCCCAACTCCACCAAAAAATAAATAAATAAAATAAAATTCCTCTCATTCAAGGTTTGTCCCCAGGCCCCACCTTAGAAAGGATTTCTGTCAGGCCAGACTGCATGGCTGCGGGTTTGGCAGTCACTCACCAATAAGCATCGACTCTCTCTGGTACTCCTGTGTGAGGTAGGAGCGCTGGGTCACGCAGTACACGTATCTCTCCAAGACATACCAGCACATCTCATAGTAGAAGGGGTACCGGAACTTGGGCTGCACCTGAAAGCCAAGACCAGGCAGCCACGGGTCAGCTTCAGGGGCACCAGGTGGAGGGAGAACACAGGAAAGCTCCCCGGGGCAGATCGCTGTAGTCTTCTCAGCACGGGGGGGTGGGGGTGGATGCTGGAGGGGAGGCGGGAGAGGGGGCGCCGAGAGGAGACGATGCCAGCAGCATGCACGGATGAAGCGGAGGTAAAGGCCTGTGGAGGGTTCCTGAGCTGCATGCCCAGGAAAGGAAGGTCCACTCTGAGCTTCTGCGAAGGGCAGAGAAACAATCTCTTTCCATCCTACTGGCAGTGCTCCGGGTACCTGCAGGTGGGCACCCTGCTTGATTCAAGCCACAACTGATAGGAACTCCTCATTCTAGAATATTTTTGCACATACTTTGCTGTCTCTGGATCCCCTCTGACGAATACCATCTGCAGAAAAGCTAAGGAGCACTCTCCTGCCGGGTGGGAGAGGCCAGGCCAGGAGGACCAATGGGGTGGGTGGAGAATGGCCTCACCTACTTGCAGGGGCGGGGCCTCAGGCTGGGAGGGCCAATGAGGACAGCGGCGTGGTCTCACCTCCCTCCTTGGGCGGGGCCTCAGAGGAGCCCACCTCCACCTCCTCCCCAAGACCACACTGCCTGTCCTGTATTTCCACCAAGTGCTCCCTGGACATAAGTTCCAGGTATGACTGCTAGTGAGAGATACACATCCAGGTATGGAGCTGGAGAACACATGGAGACCCCCTCTCAGCTCACCGGCCCTTTATGTATTTATTTTTGTGCTAATACTGGACATAGAGTCCAGAGTCTTGAGCATATTGGGCAAGTGCTCTATCACTAGGCTACATCTCCAGCCCAACCCTCTTCTTAGTTTTTTATTTTTTGTTTTTTTGAAGTGAACACAGCAAGATTTTATTGTCTTAATAAAACAAAACAAAGTGAAAAGTGGATTACTTGGCTCTCTCTCTCTCTCTCTCTCTCTCTGTATTTGTTATTATAGGGTCTCACTACATACCTCGGACTTGTGATCCTCCCTATTTCAGTCTCCCCAGCGCTGGGATTACAGGTGCGCACCACTATGCCTGGACTCTGGCCAGCTCAGCCTGCCCTAGGGGTGGGGCTGGCGCAGCATGCGGTGCCAGGAATCGAACCCAAACTGGGGTCCCTGCACTTGCCTAAGCAGGCACTTTAGGTCACTGAGCTGGCCCTTTTTCTTCTTATCTAGTTTTTTTTTTTTTTTTTTTTTTGAGACAAGGTCTCGTAAGATCAGGTAAGCTGGCTTCAAACTTGCAATCCTCCTGCCTCAGTCTCCTGAGTGCCTGGATTACAGGCGAGGGCCACCAAACTGGGTTCCTCAGCTATTTTTATAGGAGGGGAAGTAAAGGTGTAAGGCAGCATATATGGTACTAAGAAAAGGCCTGGGGTGCTGGGGGTTTCCCATGGGTGGCAGGGGAGGGTCTACCCGGAGGAAACCACAGTTGAAGATGGGAGAGAAGCAGCCCTGCTAGCCCAGCTGCGGAGGCATGTGCTGGCACCTGGATCCTGAGCGGGCATGGAGGGTGGTGCGTCTCCACCACGGGTGCTCAGAGGCCTGCATGCACATGCGGGCTGCTCTGCCCTCTGCCCCTAGAGCGCATGTGCCGGACCCGGAGCACCCCCTCACCGCTCCCATCCCCAGGAGCTCAGGAGCTGGAGTCCAGCAAGCACAGCCCCACCTGCCCGTCTGGGTCTTTCTGCTGACAAGAAAAGGACAGCACTGTACACTTCCAGGACAAAGACAATCCAGCGGACCTAAACGTTCCATTGGCTCTCAAATCTGTCTTCCATCATTCTCCAAGGCCAGGCAGGGGAAAGGCTCCTGTTCTGCTCTGGACCCCTCACCCACTCCTAACTCACTCAGCCCTCCCCTGCTGGAAACTGGTGCGTCCGCTGTCCCTGCCTCTGGTGGATGGGATCACGGTCGTCATGTGCTTCCCACGCCTGGAGAGGCACATGGGCTGGTTATCATCTAGCGTTTTCCTTGGCTCCAGCTACCTTCCGAGGGTCTAGGTCTGCCTCAGGCTGCCAGTGAGATGGTATTCATCTTTGTTCAGTTAATGCGTCGGTGCCCCCTGGAGCTCACCAAAAAGAGGGACTCTTCAGCATGAAGCCCACCCTGGCCACCGGGGGTGAAGGCCGGAGCAGGGCTCTCATGTGGAAACAAACACCAAGCCTGGAAGTGCAAGCTGAGAACAAGAGCCCCCACTGACAGGAGACTCGGCTGCTAGAACTCAGAGTTTATTTTGACTTCTGAAATTTGTGTCCATGATCCAAGCCACTGTGCCATCCATGGGCATCACGATGCTTACAAATCCTAATAAATCAGAGAAGACTGGAGGGGGACTGTATTTCAAGAGGAAAGACAAATAATCTTCCCTCTTGGCTGCTGAATCCAAGGGAAACCAGCCGGGTTGAAACAAATGCTGATGAAGAAATTAAAAGTGGTTTTTATTGTTGTTGTTGTTGATTTTTTTTTTTTTTTTTTCCAAGAGAGGACTGCAGGAAACAAAATTTGCAAAGAATTGACTTACAAACAGGTTGCCGCCTTCCACCCTTCGGCTTCAAAAGGTTTCAGCCACATGCCTGGGAACATCAAACACATGATTGCTCACTATTACTTGGTGACAAACTTAAGAGCCTCACCAAACTGAGTTGTTAACCAACCTCAGTCCGAAACAAAGGGCCAGGCAGGCAGACCACGCGCTGCCCCTGCCTGGTGGGCAGTGGGTCTCTCAGTTTGGGTCCATCCAAGTGGCACCTGGTCTGGGCTAAGAAGCCAGGCTCTCTGGAGTTGAGCAGCCTCCGGCAATGAGAGCTGCAGGCGCCTCTGTATATCTAGAACTCCCGGATCTTGAGGAGTTGAACTATAATATGAGGGTGGGTAGTAGTGTCTTAAAATTTGTTTTTCTCCTGGAAAAAAAAAAAAAAAAGCAATGGGGGGAAAAAATCCAATGGTAGAGGGAAGGGGAAAGGAAGGGGAGATTGTTTGCAGTTTCCAAACACTCACTGCTCTGCTGCCGACACCTTTTCTGGGAAGGCTGCTCTCACTTGAGCCATTCAGTGGGGAAAAAATAAAATAAAACAAGCACAAGACAGAGGCAGTTGGTGAGTGATCAGTCTGGACCATCCCTACCCCTCAGCAACTCGGTTAGAATCCCAGCAGGACCATGGTGACACTAGCAGGGAAGAACAAGCACACAGCTCATCCTCCCGGGTGTGGCTCCTCCCTTGACTTTTATGAATGGGGACAGTGTCATCCAAGGGGGATGGCAATCCACATGTCCCCACAGGCTTGGACCATGTGGCCAGTGACACTGCAGGGTGAAGCCACCTCCCCTCCTGCCCAGAGAACTTCAAACAGTGACAGCAAGGCGTGGCTTCCTAAGGAGGTGAGCACCATGGGGTTCCCAGGTCTGGATGGATCCACCCCCACCTACAGCCACAAAGACAAATTCTTATCCTCAGACAAATTCACCCCATGGGCCTTCGGGCTGCATTTTCCCTGCCCTACCTCTTGCATTTGGTTTCCAAGCAAAGCCACATTTTAGGATTCTCGAAAAAAAAAAAAAAAACTATTTTTAAATGACCATAACCTTCTTAAGAGAGCTCATAAGGATGCAAAGAATGAAGTTGTAGCACATTGACAAGGAGTCCTGGCGCTTCATCTGGCTTCCAGGACTCTCTCTCTCCAGCGCCCTTTGTCTGCCTTGGCTTCTAACACAGAAACAATTGGGCCTTGTAGCCAAGCCCCTCTCCAAAGACCAGAAATCAAAGCAGATTAAAACGCCTGCCAGCCACCGGCCCCCAGACAGCTCCAGCCGCATCCCCAGTGGGAGGACAGGAGCCTTGGAGGAGGGGCCATGTCTCAAAGTGGGAGGACAGGAGCCTTGGAGGAGGGGCCATGTCTCAAAGCGTGATCAGTCCCTGCCACCCTGGCTCCTGCCTGCCTCAAGCAGTGTGGGGAGGTAGCTGGGCTCGTGGGGGAAGGATGAGGCCCAGGCACTCCTGGGTGCACCATGGGACTCCCAGGGGATCAGACAGTTGCCAGCAAGTGGCCAGAGCCTTTCAGAATTCCGCTGGGCTCTCTGGATTTCAGGAATTGCCTGAAAAGTCTCAGGCCTGACCTCCGCCTCTCTAGACGGCTCCATTTCTGTCCACACCCACTGGTCGGCTTGCAAACAAACTGGCTTGTTCTTCAGGGCAGGCCAAAGAACAGTTGGCTGGAGCCCCAGACAGCACTTGACCCAGACTGCAAGATGACCGCTCACATCCAGCAGGGCTTTTCTCCTGAGCAGCGTGGGGCGCACGCTCTAGACCAGGGCTGGCCAGTCATGCTGAGTGGGCAGGAGGGTGGGTGGGTGACAAAGAAGGGGGTGAGTCCACAAACCAAGGGTCCTGCACTAGACCTGGGCACTGCCGGAAATATGCATGAATCTCCAGAGCATGCCTGATGCCTGTCCAGTGCTCTCCAGCGGCCAAGGCCAGGCCCCTCAACCCAGGGATTATGAAAGGGATCCTACAGTGTGGCTGAGGCTTTCACCAGACAAGCAAGTCCATGCAAACAGAGGTCTGAGCACAAGCTCAGCAGAGCGGCCCTGGGGACACAAAGCTCTCTCCTAGGCAAACCCAGGAGGGAACGGCAATGGCACAGCGCACCCGCGCAGCAGCGCACCTGGGTTCAGGTGCAGGGAGGGAGGAGCCCCGAAAACATGATGCTGCGAGAAAAAAGCTGGACACGGAAGGACATGTCCTGCATGATTGCACAAGTGGCAGCTCCACAGATGAAAAGCAGATGGGGGGCGGAGGGGCCTACAGGGCTGGGAGAGGTGGCGATAGGCCTGAGCAGCACAGGGCTTCTTCCTGAGGGATGAAAACGTTCCTGAGTTAGGCTGACGGTTCCACAACCTTGTGACCATGTAGAAGCCACTGAACTGTGCACTTCAAATGGTAAATTTTATATGATATGAATTATATTTCCATTAAAATCAAGTAACTTTAAATACCTACATAAAGATATAAAAGAGGAAGGAGAAGAAGAAACAGATTTTCTTTGCCCCAGGGCTCCAGGTTCTGACCCCTGAACCTACCTTGGGCGTGAAGAGCCCTCGGCAAGCCCCGGTGTAGGGAAGCGGGGGAAATTCCCAGCTTTGTGGGAGAGATGGTAGGGGGCATGCACACTGGCCCTGGAGTCAGGGAGACCATAGCACTGCCCTGGGTGTCCCAGACCCAGCAGACAACCTGGCTCTCCTCCACCAGGTTTCAGGTTCCCTGGGGAAGGCACAGCCAAGACCTGACCCTGAACCAACCGAGCCCTCCTTCCTGGGGGCCCCCACCGTCTCCAAACATCAGTACCAACGACAAAGGGCCCTCAGCCCCTGGTGCCCCCTTCTGTACTCGAGTAGAAGGCCAGGTTCCTGATATCTCATGCTGCTTCAAGTTGTGCTTCCTCCTCCTTGGGGGGTGGGGGTTTGGCTGCCTCTGGGTGAACAGAAACCTCAGGGCCTTGCAGGGCTTGCTGTGCTGGGGATCCCCTGACTCCCTCCTTACAGAACCAGGAATAAGGCCCAGCCTGAGACAGAGCGGGAAGGAGGGGACTGTAGCAGCTGTCACCCACCAGGAGAGAAGGCTCCTCCTTACCCGGGTCCTGTCCTCAATCTCGTGGATCCGCAGCTGCATGGGCACGTTAAAGCTGTGCAGGATATTTCCGCCGAACACCAGGGAGTCCACAGGGGTGTAGACTGCGTGGATCCAACCTGCAGGTGGGCAAAGGGAGGATAAGCCATAGGCCCTGGGCACCCCCCAACACACGAGGCTGGAGTGAGGCAAAAGGTGTGCAGACAGGCGTGAGGAAATGGGGCTCAGGGTGCTGCACACAGAAATCTGAGGATCCCGGCTGGCCTGGAGGACTCAGGCCACCAGCTCCATGTGGCCCCCCTCAGTAACTCCAACGGCAATGGGAAACCCCACCCCGAGGTCTTGGCTGACCAAGCCTTCCTCCTGGACCTGGCTACAGCCACCAATAGAGAAATAGGCCCTGTTCCTAGCTCCCATGCTGGCCGGGGAGCTGGGGACCCCCTCCCAGGCCACACACCCATCTCCACATCCCCGAGAGTAGCAGCCCAGAGGTAAGGGTGAGTGAGGTGTGCAATCTTGCCAGAGGCACAGGGCCTGACTCCTGTCACCAACCTTCCCATGCCACTTCCTGGTGGCCACCTTAGCCAGAGGCCAACACCTGCATGCACTCTGCCACGCAGGCCAAGGGGTCGGGCGGCCCCTCCCTGCACACTGTGGCTTCTCCCCAGGATCCCAGACGACAGCCCAGCACTGAGGGAAGGCGATCCCCTTGAGCCAAAATGCCATAAGGGCCCTCCAGGGCTCAGCTCAGTAAAACTCACAGAAGCCCTAAAAAGAAGATAGTACACTTGAGCCCAAGGTACGAATGAGGGAACTGAGGCATGGATAAGTGAATCATCTATCAGGATTCTGCAGCCTGGAACTCAGCCCCTGTGTGGTCCATGAAGGCAAGGGACAAAGACCACCACGCCTGAGCTCATGCCTAAGTGCCTGGATGACTGCAGGGCTCCTGGCTGCCCGACAGGATGCAGAGCCGAGGCACGGAGAGCTCTGTCCGTACCAACTTCGACTCGCAGCTGCAGAAGCGAGGCTCCGAGGAGGTGAGCCGGCGCAAGAGGAAGCTGCAGTTGGCAAGGGAAGCAGCTCCATTTTTAGCTGTGACTGAAGTGCCCCAGCGTCCCGGAGGACAGGCCTGGAAACACACAGGGGAGGCAAAAAGAGACACAGGATGATAAATGAGGGGCAGAGAGAGGCAAAGCAAGGACGGAGGGAGAGGAACGCGCCGTAGCAGGCAGAGGAGGGCCGGCCAGAGGGGAGGAGGCGTGCAGCGCAAGGGCAACGGTGGCCGGCGACAGGAGACGCTGGGTCTCTTCTCCCCACAGCGGCTCTAACTGTGCTGGAAGGAAAGCAGCAGAGGCACAGCCCATCTCCCCCGAGCTCCTCCTCCTGGAGAGCTGAACAAGCCAGGCCTGAGTCGCTGGCAGCCACCACTGCCGAGTGCAGAGCTGCACCAGGGAGAACACACAGAAGCTGCCACACCAGTGCCAGCCACCCGGCCACTGCCTCTCCCCGGTGGGCAGGACTGGCTGTCCTCAGGGAACAGCGAGGGAACATGGTCACCAAAAGCCCACAGCTTGCAGACAGGAACAGAGGCTTTGCTCTTTAAAGCTCATTCTGCTTTCCACTCCGCAGGGTCTGGCTTGGGCCATCAGAAGCCACTGGGAGGGCAACGTAGAGCCACCTGGGCAAAAAGATGATGGCTGCCACCTCTCAAGAGTGTGGGCTTCCGCTGGCCTCTGCTGCCTGCAGGCTCAGCCTCTCGCAGCACACTTCGGTCTCCAGCGAGCAGGGCTCTGCAGCCTGTCACTGCTGCGGTCATTATCACACTGCATCATTCAGCAAGTCTTCCGGGATGGGCTGGGGGATGCCAGGGTCTCCCCGCCCCGCCCCCATCCCTCTTCCCATAGCAGGGAGCACGTGAGTGTCCTCTCTCAGGGGTGATGGTATGTCTGCCTGGCAAGAAGGAGACCACTTCCTCCCTGTGGGGAACTTGGTGAGCAAGAACTCTATCGATTCAAGCAATGGCCCAAGACCTATGGCAGTCTCACGGTCAGGGGAGTATGGGACAGGATAGTGCCCCAGGACCCCACCTTTATCAACTCCCTGCCAATGGCCACACCTATCTTGTGTCACCCCCAGGCATGAGCAGAGAGGAAAATGAGGAGCACTGCTTTTGCAAGTAGGATCAGGGAAACCACACGTGCAGACATTAGAGGAATTCTAGAAGCTTTTCCCTCCGTCCTCCCTGCGACACGACTGCATGGGTGGGTTGAACAGCCTCCCTGACCAGCTGACCTGGGCTCTAGCACCTAACACTGTGCTCAGGAAGACCAGGGAGGGCCACCAGAGCATCCACAAGTCCCACATGTGTTCCCAGGCCATAGCCATTGGCAATAAGAAAGCAATACACAGAGGCTATTCAAGGCAGGTGACAAGGCATAGACACAGACAGGGAAGGAGACAAAACCTACTGTCAAGGTGCTCTCTGGGACCCCAGGGACCAAGGGCAGCAGAGGCACCCTGAGTCTCACCTATAACCCAGACGCTGAGGATTCCAAGCTCAGAAGGCCCCTCTGCGGCTGGTGCAGGGAGGACTGGGCCTGGAATTGAACTCAGAACCTACCAGATGCTGTGCCTCTGGAGCTACATCCCAAGTCCCACTGGCTTCCTTTGTGAGCGTCTATGCGCCCTGCTCAGGCCAGGCTGGGAGGGCATAGGGGCTAGGGACAGAAGCAAGGACAGCCTTGCTCTGCAGGACTCAGCCTAACTGGTGAACCACAGGATAACCCAAGTCCTGGGGCAGGTTTGGTTCGACCCACTGCATGGTACAAAATGGAGAATTGTCTCCCAAACTCACATGGCCAGAAAGAGGGGCCAAAGTGCAGGTGCCCCAGTCCAAGGCTAACAGGGAACCGGGGGTTGTCCTGGGGAAGCAGGCTCTGAAACCGGCACGCTGGGTTTTCATGCTACCTTGTCACTTACTAACTAAGGGTGGGAGCATGGTGCCAGGAGCTATCTTTTTTTTTATCTTTAGTTTTTCTTTTTCTTTCTTTCTTTCTTTTTTGAGACAGGGTCTTAAAGTCTATATAACTCAGCCTGGCCTTGAGTTCACTATGTAGTCTATCTAGACTGGCCTTGAAGTCCTGGCAATTCTCCTGCCTCATCCTCCTCAGAGCTGAGATTACAGGCATGCACCCAACTTCCATCATTCTTTTTCTTTTTAATTTTTTTATTTATGTATTTATTTGGCACAGGGTCTTACTACACAGCTCAGACTCACAGTGATTCTCCTGGCTCAGCCTCCCCAGTACTGGGATTACAGGCATGCCCCACAGTACCTGGTTTCAGTGGCCAGCACAGAGGCATGACATGTGGTACTGGGGATCAAACCCAGAAACGCAGGTGCTTAGACCACTGAGCTATCTCCCCAGTCCCCATCATTCTTCTTAAGAGTAGAGGACATGTTAAATTTTTCCTTACATGTTTGCAAGGAAGACAAACAACCTGAGCACATTTACCATAGCTCATCAAAACTGGCAGAGCCAGGAGGAAGGCTGAGCCCACAAATGTGGTCAGGACACTGGAAGAAGATGCCCCCTGGTTTATCCAGGTTCTCAAAGTCCCCAACTTCCTTGGCAATGACTTCCTGTGCCAGCTGTTCTTACCAGGCTGAAATCCAGCAGCCCCCGAACTCAATGCTCCTGACCCTGACTCTCACTTAGCGGGCCAAATCCAGGGCCCTATTTCTAGTCACCCCACTCCTTGGTCATCTCCAACGGTTTTCCTCTTCCACATGCCTTTCCAGGACTGCCCAGGACTGAGGCCTGATGTACCACCAGCCCTTTCACTTTCCCAGGCAAGACGAAGTTAAGCCATAGCTCTCAAAACTTTTTTTTTTTTTTTTTAAGGCAGGGTCTCGTTGTATAGGCCAGGCTGTACTTGAGTTCCCAGAGAGCCTGCTGCTTCAGCCTCCCAAATGTTGGGATTACAGGCATGTACCACCACACCTGGCAAACATCATGTCATTTCATATCTTCCTAACCCACGGGCTTCTGCTGCACTTTCAGGTGGGGAGATCTGAGACAGAGTGAAGCAGGAGGAGACACATTGAAGTCACACCATGGGAATGAGAACCCAGGTCCAATGTGGGAAAACTAGCCTCAGATTCTCCAGTGTAGAAAAACTCTCACTGGGCAGCTCTGAATCCTGCCTGGCTTCCTCAAGGCTCTCTCCATCCAAAGCCACCATCCACCTGCCACAAATCACAGGTATAGGGAGGGGCTTCCCTGTGGCTCACAGAATGTGGATGCTGGGGAGGACCCCACATCCCTCAGAAGGCCCAAAGTATTTATTTCAGTCTGTGGAATCCAGAGTTCCAAAGGCTGGCTAAATCACTCAGTGGACTAAAGCACCTGCTTAGGCAGGTGCAGGACCAGGGTTCAATCCCCAGTGTGTCACACCGGCCCTGCCTCGGGGATGTGCAGAGACAGCAATTGAGACCGGGCATGGTGGAGTGTGCCTGTAATCCTAGTGCTTGGGAGGCTGAAAACAGAGGAGGATCACTAGGAATCCGATCTACGCAACGAGATCCTGTAGACCCCATACTAAATATGTTTTTTAAAAAAAAAGGTTAAAAAAAAAAGTTCCAGGGGCTGGCGAGATGGCTCAGTGGTCTAAAGCACCTACTTGGAACAAGCTTGGCAAAGCACAACGACCACGGTTCAATCCCCAGCACCACATGCCAGCCAGCCCCGCCCCCTGGTGGGCTAAGCTGGACACACACACACACACACACACACACACACACACACACATAAATAAATGTTTTTAAAAAAAAAAAAAAAAAAAAGTTCCAGGCTTTAGTTTTCACTGGTTAGCAACAGAATAAGAAAAATGAACATGGTATAGCTTTTCATAAACTCAAAACTAACAAATTTAAAGTGTTTGTGTTGGGCTAGGGAGATGGCTCAGAGGAATAAGCACTTCCTGGCAAGCGCAAAGGCCTGAGTTCAATCCCCAGTTCCACAAAAATAAATTAATTAATTAAATAAAGTATTTGTGTCAGTGGCATACACCAGTAATCCCAGCATTTGGGAGGCTGAGGCACGAGGATCACTGTAAATTGGAGGCCAGCCTGGGAAACAAAGTGAGCTCAAGGAAGGCCAACCTGTTACTACATACATTTTGAGACTGTCCAAAAAAATACCCCCCCCCCCGCCAAAACCACCTACCAATCCAAAGGAAAAGAGAAAGGGAGAGAGGGAGGGGGGAAAAATCTACTTTATTCTAAAATTTATCCCTATAAACTCTGCTTATCTATGGCTTCTGCATCTATGCATTCAACCAAGTATAGATCAAAAACATAAATTAAATGGGGCCAGGGAGATGGCTCAGTGGAATAAGCGCTTCCCTGGCAAGTGAAAAGGCCTGAGTTCAATCCCTGTTTCCACCCCGCAAAAAAAAAAAAAAAAAAAAATCATCAGAGCAGGGGCCAGGGATATAGCTCAGTAGCACAGCGCCTGCCTAGCAAGTTCGAGGTCCCGAGGTGGATTCCCAGTTCCAAACATTAAAAAATAAAAAATGCTCAGATTAAATCCCAAACGTTGGAAAGAGGAAGAAAAGGAAGAGAAGGCAAATCCAAAAACCTCAGGTCCAGGGGTCCTGGTTATTGTTTGTTTCAATTTTTTAATTAATTGTTTATTTATGTATTTGGTACAGGGTTTCGCTATGTAGCTCAGACTCACAGTGACCCTCCTCTCTCAGCCTCCCCAGGGCTGGGACTGCAGGCATGCGCCACCACGCCTGGTTTCGATGGCCAGCACAGCACCATGTATTCATGTGGTCCTGGGGATCAAACCCACCTGCCAGGCAGATGCTTAGACTGCTGAGCTATCTCCCAGCCCAGTTCTTGTTTGTTTTGTGATGATGGCTACCACTAAGCTGCCGTCCCAGCCTACTGTTTGTAATGCCCATTTTCAGTAAAATTCTGCTTTTGTCTGTTTGCTTTTTGGGACAGGGGCTTGCTCTGTAATTGAGGCTGGCCTTGAACTCGCCATGTAGCCCAGGCTAGCTTCAAATTTGCAGTGATCCACCCGCCTCAGCCTCTCAAGCGCTGCATCCCGAGACCTCACCAACTTGCTCAAGTCACCAGAGCTCCCACCCCCTACACCCTGTTGGGGGTGTGCAGTAAGTCCCTCCAGACATGCACAGGGCCCGCAGCATGAGCCCCAGGACACCTGCACGCAGATGCAGCCCCTGAGGAAGCCAGCACCCAAGGTCCACACGGCCAGCAGCAGTCCCACTCACCAATACCTGTGGGCTGGACCTTGCATCGCAGGCCCCCGCCTTCCTCCTGAGCCTCCACACAACACCCTCGCGCATCCACACACGCTGCACCAAGTCCCTCCGGCCAAAGCAGGGGTCCTCAGCAGGCCCAAGGAATGACCTGGAGCCATGGCAACAAAGTCACCCCAGCTAAACTCTGCCCCTGCGAATCCCAGATCTTCCTAACTGGACAGTGCATCCTCTGCCCAGCTTTCTAGAATAGCTCCGAGGTGTTGCCGAGCCCACTGAGAGACCCGCTGCCACATGCACACCTTTCATGGACACCCCATGTCTCGCCCAAACCCAAGGCCAACACTCAGAAGCCAAGTGCGGCAGCTTCTCCATCCAAAGGACCTTAGTGGCCTCAGCTTCCAGCCAGGGGCAGGTTCTCTGAAACTGCACCTATATGTAACTTCTGCTTATATACCTCCAGTGATGAGTAGCTTACTACCTAGCACAGTGAGTCACTCCAATGCCACTTAGGTCTACCTCTTCCTCTAGGAGACAATCCTCTACCCAGCTAATTGCAGCCACCATCTATCGCTGTACCAGGTGCAACAGCTGGGTACGTTTTTCAATCTCCTCTCAGCTGATGTGGTTTCCAGACTCTCCGCTCTTTGGGTCAACTGGCACTCCAAAGTATAAAACAAGAAGTATACAACTCCCCCCCACCTGTGGCCTAGCCCCTTTGTGCTCTAGATAGCAGGTCTGTTACCTCCTTCATCCTAGAGAGAATGCATCCATTAATATAGCCTAAGGCCAACCTCCCTGACTTCTGTATCACTGGCCACATCCACAAGTGAGTCAGCCTGTAGCCCTGCACGTCTTACTTCAAATTTACAGAAAAGAGCACTCCAGGGTCCTGAGTTCAGTTCCTGGTATCAAAAAAAAGTGAAAAGAGCCCCTGCTGGCCTTGGTAACAGATGCCAGTAATCCCAGTGCTCAAGACACTGAGGTAGGAAGACCTCTTCAAGTTCAAGGCCAGCCTGAACTACACAGCAAGACCTTGTCTCAAAAAACTAAAACTAATACTGAGGTATACAGAGGTTAAGTAACAGCTCATAAACAACAAAGACAAAATTTCAACTGGCATGGCTCAATGCCCTACTTGAGCTCTTGGGGTGCATATTCACACCCCACCCCCTGTGCCCACAGAACCCTCTCAGCCTCTCACAAAGAAACCTAGAGGAAGTCCTGGGGGAGGCGTCTTGGGGAAGACCTTGAAACTCCCTGGGGAGTCTGAGGCTTCGTCCAAGGCACAGACATGCTGAGGTACCTTCTACCTCTGTGCTCCCCAGGGGCTCTGCCAATGGCCAGCCTAATCCCACCAGGCCCACGAGAACCCTCACTTGATCCCAAAGCTTTGCCTCGGCCACAGGGCTGCAGGACACTGCCCCAAGGGAGAGGGAGCCAGGGGCCAAGCAGAACCCAGAAGAGCCACACAGAACCTACCAGAAGGGATGAAGAATGTGTGGCCCTGTTTCAGCTCAATTCTTTGGCATCGCTCCACGCGGTCTCCCAGAAAGATGTCACTCTGCTTGCCTGACAGCACCCATTCCTCATACAGCGCCAAGTTGTGCAGGGTCGGCGGGATCAGCCAGAAGATCTAAGGAAGAGGAGGAGGAGGCGGTCAGCCAGTCTCTGACCTCTTCCAGGCCCAACATAACCAGAAAGACAGTCCCACACAGACGAGTCCATTGCCCGGGCCCCTAAGACCAGGCCAAAGGGGGGCAGGAAGGCTCCCCTCCTGTCAGAGAATCTCCACTTCAGCCAGAATACCGAGGAGGCAAATTTCCTGCACCCGGGAACATTCTTTTGCCTGAGTCAGAGGCTTGTGTGGGCCTCAGGAAGGAAAGGAAGGGAACTTCCTAAGCTGAATGATGAAATGGGCCGATAAATAAAGCCGCTGCGCGCTCACTTTGGGGAAGGAGGAAAACAACTGGAATGAAGTGGTTTGACTCCCTCTCAGAACCTCGACCTACACATCCGATTCAAACAAGCACACATGCACACCCTGGCTGGCAGGGTGGCTGCCACAGGGGTACTTTCTAGAAGGACCCACACCTGTGCAGGGATATCTACAGCCCCCCAGGAACACATTCCCCAGAAGAGGCGCTCCACGGGCACCCAGGACATGCACTCTGCCGCCCTTCTCAAGCAAACCCTGCATGCGAGCTCTTGGAGGCAGGTGGCACTGGCAACTGAACCTCGAAGTTAAAGGTCCAAATGCCAGCTCTGAGATGAGACAGACTGAGCAGCAGAGATCTAAGGCGCTCAGAACCCCTGACTAGGCTTTCTCTCTAGACTAGACCAGTGGGCGGCACTGGGCAGGCTGATGTAGTAGGAAAAAGGCAGGCAGGAGAGGGCTCCACGGGAGGGAGAAGCCTGCAGGGGTGGCTGGAAGGGGGGGAGGGGTGCTTCCTCCCAGCACACAAGGCCAGAGAAGCAAGGCAAGTTGGCAATTCAGCGGGAACTCACCTTCCCACCCCGGAACACATGGTACCACACAGAGGTGCCTCCGAAGTCGATGTGGAAGTCAGTGAAGCAGCCTTTCACGCTCATCAGACAGTACCTGTAGCATGGGGGGGGGGTGTCAGGAAGGAACCCGAGAGGGGCATACCCTCCACACCGCCTGACCTAGTGCCCTTTCATAAACCATGACGCTGGGGGATTTTCTTTTTCTAAAAATCCAAATCTCACGGAGTTCCCCTGGCAGGGGATGTCCTTGTGATCAGGTGACAGTTTCAAGAAGCTGAGCCAGTTTTTGTTTTGAGGTTCCCAAGAGTAGCAACCAACAGGCGCCCAAGTTCCTTTGTAGCCCCCACTACCCCTCAACTCGGAGGCTTTCTCTCTGCTCCTTCCCAGCTCTAGTACCTGCAGTGTTGCTGGGGCTGCCAGGCTGCTCTGGAGCAGCTGGGCCCCCTGGAATTGAGCTGTAAACCACCTGTGTAGCTCGCCAATTACCCAGACAGTTCACTCATTCAACCAGAGGTTCAGATGCATGAGATGCACAAGACCCCACACTGGCCGACGAGACCCTAGGTAAAACTTAACTGACAAGACGACTAGCAGTTGATGACGTAAGCAGCAGGGCTAAGCAGCCCCAGCCCCCAAAAACCACACAGCATGAGCTTCCACCTGTATGAAATGTCCAGACACACAGAGGCAGCAGCAAATAGCTGAGTGGTGGCCAGGGGATAGGGTGGGGGCAGTCCTTAGCAACAGGGTTTCATTTTGGGGCAACAGAAACGTCCTGAAAGGGACTGTGGCCGCGCTACTCTGGATGTACTAAAAACCACTGGATTGCACACTTTCCACAGGTGAATGTTACGGGAATTATACCACAATAAAGCTGCCAAAAGTGAAGGGATTAAGCAAAGAGCAGGCAGTGCTGCCAGGCAGGGAGGGGAGCAGCTGAGGGGGGGTGGGACTGGGGAGGAGGGACCCCAGCAGGTCAGCTCCCTCCCTCCCTGCACAGCGCCAGCAAGCCCTAGCAGCCCCCCCCCCGCACCCCCAGGAACACGGTGCTCCTCTACCTCCCCCTATGAGGCTGCCCTCCTTGCCATGGGCAGAGCTTGAGGAGGGGGCAAGGAGCAGGCGTTCAAGTCCAGGCCTGGTAGACGACCGTCACAGGGGCCCCCTGACACTCACCCCTTCCCACGAGAGCCCCAGGCAACACAGACGGGCGGCCTCCTTGCCGCTCATGTCCATGCACCTGACACCTCCAGAGCCCCGCGCACACGCTTACCCACTGACCTCTTTTCCCCGCTGCACTTTGCCTTTCCGCGGTTTGGGGAACAGGGGAGGAACGGGGCGGGACCGGCAGGGAGGAGCCAGCAGAGTGGAGAGAATGGGGGCGGGCTTGGGGGGGCTGAGCCCCGGGGAAGGCTGGGCGGAAGGCGTGGAGGGCTCAGGCCCCCTCCTCTGGCTGCCTTGTGCACCTTGCCTCAGGTGGACCCGGGGCTTGGCAGTATGCAAGCAGCGTGCCCCAGTCCCTCCTCCGGATAGGCTGAGAGAAGCCTTAACCATGTGTCTGCGGGAGGCTGACAAATCAGAAGGCCTTCCCGTACATCAGAGCCCCGCTGCCTAGCAACCCCATCTGAGGGGTGTAGTTGACAGCCCAGGACGCAGGCTGTCACGAAGCTGGCAAAGGGGCAGCTAAAGTCCTGACTCTGGCTCCACACCCTCCCTGCCGCCCGCCCCGGGCCAGCCCGGTTGGGTCCCCGACTGCAGGCCTGGGATGGCCTCCCCCAAGGAACTAGGGGGCCCTGAAGCCCTCACCCACCCTACCCCCACGGACCACACCGGCCTCTTCTCTCTTAGCACCACTTCAAAATATTAGTCCCCGTTTTCTTAAAACCATCTCTCTATCGGGATTCGCTTTTTTCTTTTCTTAATCTAACCTTGGTTTCCACCCCCTCCAAGCCGCTGCTGCTGCTGCTGAATGCGGTGTAGGGTAAACAATTTCAGTGTGTGGGGGGTAGAGCCAGAAGTGTTTCCTTCAGCCTGCAGCTGGGTGCGGGCTGGGTACCCTGGGAGACCCGACTGGAGGGGAGTTCCTCTGCCTGACCAGACTGGTCACTGTCATGGGCCCATCCTCAGCCCTGACCCCATTGCACCCCATCGCACCCACACAGGACGCCCTGGCTGCTGTGTCCTGGGAAAGTTCTCCAAGTTGACCTGTGTCTCAGCTGCCCTCGGGTCACCCTCCATCATGCACAGCAGCCCTGCGGGGTGTCTGGGGAAGCCACTTCCAGAGGTGCCTCTTCAGAAGAGGCCCCTCCTACAAGAGTCCCTCATTTCCTGGCCGCTAGGCCTGGGCTGCCCCTCCCACCCAGCTATTGATTGCAGGCTTTAGGGCAGCCAGGGTGGCTGTGACAGGGCAGCTTTGTCCGGGTCCCTGCAGCTAGCAGGCCACCCCAGGCCCCCGCCCACGTTGTCTGGGGCTCTCTCTTAGCTCCTGCCCGCTCTGGCGTGACGCCTTTGCACTGACCTCTACAGCTTCCTCTTCCCAAGCACACCGCAGTCACATGGGCACCCCGGCTCCGTGCCACGGCCGCTAAGCTCGCCCCGCCAACCGCCCGCCACGCCAGCCGGGCTTCTGGAGTGTCTTGGGGGGCCCCTGCCCGGACACCCGCGCCACGGACACCCCTTGGCCCAGGTGGCGTCTGCGTAGGAGGGCACCCTCCAAGTTGGAGGCTAGCGATCCAGGGCTGCCTGCTGAGCCCTAGAGGGGCTCCCGCCCTCCAAGGCTGGGCTGGCTGGGAGGAGCATAGGAGGGGGCGCTGCACCTGCGCCTCCAACTTGGGGCGCAGCGTGGGGCCAGCCGAGGCGGGGCAGTTCCACCCCTCCATTTCTCTCCAACTTGGAGAAACTAGCCCGGCGTGGACCAGCCGGTGTACCCTTGGGCAAAGGTCCTGCAGGGGTCCCCTGGAAAGCTGATACCTGGTGGTGTGGTGGGGCAGAGGCCAGGTGGTGGGTGCGGGCATGAGCGCAAGCCCTCCACACCGCCATCCGCCCCGGGGACACAAAGAGCTGCTCAGCGACACCGGTGGCAGAGCACCCACAACCCGCCCGCGCGCCACAAAGAGCCCGGGGTTACCCTCGGCGGCGGTGGCGCTCCCGGGCGTCCCCTTCGGCAGCGGAGGCTCGACGCGCACCGGGGCCCGGCTGAGGACGCGGGGACCCTCGCGTGCAGCCTTCCTTCCTCGGAGAGCCCGGCGCAGCCTGCGCTCATCCCCGCGCTGAAACTGAACACCAGCGCGGGCGGCGGGGAGGAGGAGGGAGGCCGCGGCAGCGACCGCGAAGTGAAGCGCACCGAGCCCGCGCCAGGAGACGCCGCTGCCGCCCACAGCCGCCCCTCGCCCCCTCAGCCCAATGGGGGGCCGCTCCCACTCCCCTCTCTAGGAGACCGAGTGGGGACCACAGCGCCTGGCTTCTCCAAGCGTGGACGCCACCCTGCTGTGGGGGTGCCAACCCAACAAGGCCACCTTCCTGAAATGTGCCCATCCACCTGGTCTTAAGGAAGGTCTGATGCTCCTTGTTAGGGGGAGTGTCAGGTCCCGAGAAAACAGCCAAAAAGGCAGGATGGGGCTCTCACCCGGAGACTAGCTGTGCGACCGACTGTGGGCAACTTACTTCCCCTCTCTGATCCATTTCAGTGGGCCCTCCTAATGCCGAAGAAGGTGACCTGAAGTTCAACTCTGCGTCCCCAGAGGCTCTCGGGCTGACCCTGGCCCTGCCTGTCCCCATAGGAGCCGTGTAGCCTGGCATCACAGAAGGATCGTGGGAACTCACGGAGATAAGGACCATGAGCTAGAAAGGATCACACTGTGCATTGCTGGGGCCAAACTTGACATGGCCCCCTCAGGTCATTTCTGGAGCCACCCAGTTTTCAGATGAGGAGGCCCACTCTCGTCCCTAGCCTACCTCCAGCCCAATGAGGTGACAGCTTAAATCAGAAGTTCCACCTCTGAGGTCATAGAGTCACTGCCCTCCCCACATCCTTCCCCAAACCACAAGGGAGCAGGAGACACCAGAGCCTCTTCCCAACACTTCACCGGGCTCCACAGCCATATTAATTAATAGGTGCTAATTATTCAAGTGTTGATAATAGCAGCTGGTTCCATGCATGAGCTCCTTTCACCCTTGAACAGCCTGAGCAGCCCCAGCTTAGGCAAACCCTGCCGGCCTGGTCAATGCCCGGATTGTGCTGCTTCTGATCTCATTCATGGCAAGCCCACTCATTAGCACGTTCAGGAGTCTGCCCAGGAGGCCAGACTTAGCTCTTTGCAACTGGCTGGATTTTTTTAACGGGTGCGTCTTTTGCCTATTTAAGCAAATATTGGGCTGGTGAGATGGCTCAGTAGTCTAAAGCACCCACTTAGAACAAGCTAAGCTTAAGCAAAGCACAGGGACCACGGTTCAATCCCCCAGCACCACATGCCAGCCAGCCCCGCCCCCTGGTGGGCTGAGCTGGCCACACACACACAA